TTAATAGTATTTGTGAAGAATGGATAGGATAACTTTAATAAAATATGTGTTGGGGATGGAAATAATTTAAATAAAAAATAATAAAATTAATAAGATTTACAAGTGAAGTTTCAGAAAAGTTAGGTTATGCTCGATTTATCAAATATTTCACTTAAAAGAATATAGAAAATGGTTTTAGAGGTTTGTTTGATTTTTGGTTTAAATTAAATATTTCGGGGCTAACTAAAAGACGATACATTTCGATACTCCTCCTTGAGGTGTGCTTATTGATGTTCTCACATAAGTATATGGTGGGACCTACAATTGAGCTGATAGGTTCTGTGAAAGGCTTTTTCGAAAGTTTGCCATTACCTGCCGAAAGGCTACCACTATTAGAAACAAAAATATTTTGGATGTTGGTCGGACCAGGAATTGATGATTAATACCACTCGGCTACGTCAAAACGTTACTGGTGATATTACAACTACAATGAAAAGTGCATTAAATTTATGACCCGCCAGGGCGCTTGTATGGTTAAAGTTGGCTCTGGTTATTTTAAAGGTAATCCATGCAAAATTTTAACGAACTTAAATTTTAGTGAATGAATCATGTTTGCGGTTGAGCAGTGTTCTCCGAGAGCTTAGTAGTAGGTAATTCACGCGCGGCAATGATAAATTACTAAGCTCCACGGTACTAAACTTGATTTTAAGAGTCATTGTGTGACTTGACCTTATAGACGGTAATGTTGAAATATTAGACAACGCGAGCTGTAAGGAAAAGAAAAAAAGAAAAAACAAAACCTGGTTTTTCCACATTAAATACACACAACACATGTCAAATGTGACCGGTGATCATCAGTGAGAAAGATAACTAATATTAAAATTTATAGCAAGGGAACTCTATTGTTTTGGGTTTTCGTCACTACTTTATTGCTTATTAATGATCTTCACTTAAATGTATGGAATAAAGAGAGCTATGTATATTTGAATAAATATTCATGTGTAAATATGTATGTACATAAGGGTGGTCCAAAGTTTTTTTTCCAGCCACCCCGAACTGAAGAATATCGAAAATAAGGTGACTCCTTATAGTTTTATTTTGAAATCGGTGAATATTTAACCGTGCCGGGCTTTGAAGATTTCCACATATTTTACACGGGGAAATACATTTTTTTTGTACAAGATTATTTCCCTTCAGAGAGGGAGGGAGAGAAATATTTAATTTTAAAACTTTACTTACTACTTTTTCATAGTCAATAACCTTAGCTCTTATATTATGTTATTTTATGTGTTCGAAACCACAGCACGCACGTCAGGAAAATACAGTTAATACAATTTTTATTCTGCCGTTGTGGTGTAGTGGTGTTCGAGCCCAGATAGCCCAGTTTCCGACTAACATTAAAATCAAAGAAAAGAATGAAGTTTTTTCTATATAATAGCGGTCTCCCCTCTGCAGGCATTGGCGAACCCCCGAGTGTATTTCTGCCATGAAAGAAATTCTCATAAAAATACAATCGCCATTTTTGGTCGGCGTAAAAGTTGTAGGGCCCTCCCCTTGATGTATGTGCCAACATAATGGGCACGCCCCAAATCGGAGGAGAGCTGAGCCAAACACTAAAATATCGTGTAAGCGCCAATGTATTATTATTAAAACATCAAAGTTAAATATGCATAATTATATTTCAGGGAAATATTCGGGAAATGTTTGCTTATTTGTACAACGATTTTGTGGTGGGGGCGGAGGGAGAGTGTGCGTGGCTCCCCACACCCACCTTAAGCGAAAGAGGATGGACGACGCTTTATGAAAAGTCATCCAAAGTACAAAAGGTGGAAAGGATCTTAATATAAAAAGGAGAGTATATTCGTTTGCTTCTTGGTTGCAGCGAAAAATGATTTCAATTGAGGATGATGTAAGTCGTTACTTTGCTGGATTTGAAAATTTGTTTTTGCTGTTATAGATAGTTAGTGCAAACAAAAAATATTTTTAACAACCCCGCACCAGCAGAGGAAGTCGCGGCAGGCCCGACGTTGCATTTCGGTTTGAAAGCTAGTATTTCAGTCCTCTTTCAATTGGCACCAAATTTATTAAATTTGGATAAGCGGGTTTTTTTATTATTATAAAAGGACTTTCATTTCGGCCTTAACAAATATTCAGCCAAGTTTAACTGTTATTAATAACAATAACCCCACGTCTCCACCTTCTACAGAATCTGTTGAAAAGCGGTGTTAAGACAAAGGCAAATTTCCACTGTTAAACCATATCTGTCTAGCCGAATTTCTTATCCTCGCTGTCTTAACATCAGCTGTCATTTCGAAGTTTGACAACTCAGTTTTCATTTTACGGGGCCATCTACATTGGGAACAGATCGATCTGATTCGAAAAATAAAAACAATCTAAGATTCTAGACCAAAGAAACATTAATAACATTCGTATACGACAATATTTTACCTTGGACTTATAACATCGAAAAAAAAATATTATTTTCGGTCCGTAGTTTTAACGAACGAGAAACGTAGTCAGAAAAAAAATGCAAAAGTACGAGCATATTAAAATTGTTTTTTATGAAACAATACACATACATATCATACTATGTACTATGTATTTAAAAAAAAAAAATTTTAAGGAATTGTTTGAACTGTAGACGTACATTTAGATACAAGTTTAGGGGTAAAAAACTATTTTGAAAGAATAGTGTCTGGAAATTAATATAGATACGGTGACCATTCGTAGAGATTTTGGCGGGACAGTACCGATTTTGAGAAAATTGTCCCGCTGAATATTTTTTAAAAGTCAGGACGTATAAGTGTCCCGATTTTTCATATTTGTACCGATTAAATCCCGATTTTCAGTGTTTTCTTTATTAATTTTATAAGATTTTCCCTGCACTCTGGCCAAAAACCAATTTTTCATACAAACATGGCAGCACTTTCGTTATCACATATGATATAAGAGAGCCATAAACATAGTCATCAGCCTTATTTTCTATGATTTTTGGATATGTTTTATTCTGTCGAACTGGTACTCTCGCTATATTGCAGTCTATCATTAGTCTCTCAATTTTTTAATGTTTTTTAATCGATTTCAAGAAAAGAGGTTATCAATTCCTCGCAATATTTTTTTTATGTATGTTACCTCATAATTTTGGACCACGTTAACCGATTTCTGTAAGGAAAGGTGGTACCTCAGAGGTGATCCCATATTAATTTGGTTTAGGTGAGATCATTGTATCATTAAGAATTTACCGGTACTCTTAAATTTTTATATGAGAATTGAAGTCGGTTTTGTTGTTTGCTTAAAATTGTTTGTTAAGTTTTTTTTGTTTTTTTTTTCTCATAAAACGATTCTAATTTGAATTTAGTGAAATTATAAAAAATAATATTAATTCCCTCAAAAAAATCATGGATATGGAAACTATAAGTTGTAGATACAGTGGCGGAAATATAATTAGGGAAGAGACATTTTAGCATTCTTTAGCGATTATTGAATATTTATTACTTTTTAATGAAAGTATAGGTCGTTATCTAACAAAGACTATGTAAGTCCAAATTTGAAACTTTGTACAAAAATTAGCAAAATTCGACAAAGTTTCATCGAAATTTTGAGCTCTTTAATTAGATATATTAGAAATATTCTGAGTATGCAGTTTTGTAGCCCATTCAATTCAAACTGAAAATTTTAAGCAACTAGGACTTAAGGCGGACTCACCGTTCATGTCCGGACTCTTTTTGTTAGTAATCTTACGCGTTCCTTTCCCACTCTGTCTCACTGAGAGCGCGACAAAAATAAGCTGAACCCTCTTTGTTCGAATCAAATTGATTTTGATTTTCTGTCCGACCGACTTGATGATTCGGGTTACCGTGTTCTCCTTTATATGCGTTTGCAGCGAATTGCATATATTATTTGCCCTCAAAAACGTATGTAGGCAACAATATCATCAGCTGTTTGCTTCAGAACAAAATAAAATGTGCCGAACGGAACGGTGAACCGTACTTCAGCACCCTGTACGGCAAAAATGTTTTGAGAGCAAATAAAAAGTTGTCCGGACACGAACGGTGAACCCACCTTTACCGTTGATTTTTGGTATTTTTTTTTTTTTTGTGGAAGATGTTGCTCATTTTCTCTATACAAAAAAATTGTTGAACACATTTTTATGGAAGAATATGCGAGAACAAAAAATTTCCAAAAACTTGCACTAAAATTTAACGAGCTAAAAATCTGCATACTCAAAAAAATTCCAGAAAATCGGATTAAAATGTTTAAAATTTTGATCAAAATTTGTTAAAATCGTCGAATTTTTATAAATGTTCTACAAAGTTTAAAATTTTGATTTATATGTTTTTAAGATAGCTTGTTATACTTTAATAAAAAATAAACACTTTTTCAACAAAGAAAAGTAGCCAAAACTTGGTAAAATGTCTTTTCCCTATTTACATTCTCGCCCCGTATATATTATGTGTATACATTTTTGCGAAAGCTTTTCAAGTGTTTCTCTTTATTTTGTTTTAAATAAAGCTGTATTAAAAGATGTTATGTCTTCATTCTAAAAACAAAATTTTGGGTTCGGATTCGATGCTTAAGAAATGTCCCGATTTTTGGCCACAGAAATCTGGTTACCGTAAATATCGCTTATAACGACGAATAGTTCGGTCCTTATAACTCACTTAGTTTTTATATTATGTTTTAGCATTATTGTAAAAATATATTGATAATAATGCTTTTCCAAATTCTATCCTTTTACTATTTTCTTTTTTTTGTAATTTTTAAATCCAATTAAAAAACCCAAAAATAACAAAAAAAAATTTTAAACGCCACGTTTTTGAGAGAAATGTGTTTGCCCATCATTTGTTTGGAGACGGAGCACTGTACTGAAGCACGTACAAAAATTAACTGATTTCAAAAAAAAAAATACGATAAAATTTATTTACCTGAGTATTTTTGGACCACCCTAACTTATAGGACATATATGTATACGTGCATACATATGTGTGCTCAAATATAGTTTTGTATTCATAATTAAACGCTTTTATGCGCAAGGCAAGTTTTTCGGTTAGATAGAAGCTTCAAACAGATCAGACTGGTTCAAAATGACGGAAACGGCTAAAAAGTTGGTTAGTTAATGCTGAGTATGGACATATGGATTATATTTGCATATACATACATATATATATATATATATATATATATATATATGTATATATGTCATGTACATACATATAACTTATGATACCTTTAGGTGTACCTATTGCCAATAGTAATAATTCTGATTTATGATGTACCCGTTGATGGCCAGGACAACCGAGCGCCTCCAAAATTGGGTCAGTTGGTGCCCACGATAAGACAAGAAAATTATGAGCTGTTGCCAAGCGGGGACAAATACTTTCTACGGTGAGTTTTGTCTGAAATATGTGGGTAAACAGGAAAATGTTTCGATTAAAATATTATTTTTCGTACATACTATAGTTTAAACATACCCGACGGTAAACGTTTGGAAAACGTAGAGTTGCTGACGGATGAAAATGGAAAGAAAGTGCTAACAGTCAAGGGTTCGTTGAAGCTAACATACAAAGATACTCCATTCCATGTGACTGTTATTTATGAGGCCGACGGAGATGGTTACAGAGCAAGATATATGTACACAACAAAACAGCCCCACGCTGATACTGTGCTATTTGCTAGTGCGAATCTTTTAAAGTCCTCAGCTGGTTAAAACGTGAAATAGTTATACAACAAGTAATTTCAAGCAAAAAAAAAACCGATTTCAATTCTCATATAAAAATTTATGGCGTTAATTAGTGCCGTTAATTTTGTCATGATCAAATGATCGGATCTAAACCAAATTAGTATGGGACCACCTCAGAGGTACGACGAATTGATAACCTTCTTTTTTTGAAGTCGCTTAAAAAGTGAACTTGATGAAAAATACTTGTAAAAATTAGTTTTTTTAAAAGCAGAGAAATCGGAAAATAAAAATTTATCTAAAACAAAGGGCTTATGTATATTCAGTTAGATCATGCGGAGGACAAAAACTATGACGTAGACCGCCATTTAGATCCATTGAGATACTATAAGAATAATATATCTAAGTCTTATCATCTAGTATTACCTAACATACATATATACTCGGATCTCAAAAAAAACAAAAAACAAAAAATTGGTCCAAAGGTTTGCATCTCACTGAACTGGTTCCAATACGCTCTTCGTTTTACCAGCTTCTACAGAAATCAAAGGGAGAATAAATTTGACCTTAAAAATTTAAGATGATAAGGGCCAGCCAGTTTCTCAATATCTGGTTAACAAAAACTGCAAGTTAAACATCGTTATCGACATGAGCTATTCCATAACGTATAACAGGGAGTCGATAACGATGTTTAACCTCTAGTTAGTGTTAACCAGACATTAGGAAACTGGTCCTAAGATTCTTACATTATCCCCGACTTTTACAGCCGCACCAAGAAACATTCATTAGATTAGCTCTAACGGGCACATAAATAATGCTCGTTAAGGGCCGTTTTCTCATCTAACCTTTAGATTACCGATTGCTCACCCGATGCAACCTTTAAAAATTTGTACCCAACTTTAAATTTTGGTTTAGTTTTGGTTCATGAGTCAGATATATTAGATATTTCTACCAAGGTTTTGGTTTTTGCTAACAGTTGCTCTTGCTTTATATTTGCTTATGTTGCATTGCCAACCTTTGAAATTTTATGACGAACGTACTGAAGTTTCACTCACGGAAATGTAGTGAAGTTTCACTTATTTTTACCGGTAAGATAAGAAAACCAAAACACTTTAAAGCGAGGAACAATTTATCTGCCCTGTTAGTAAAGGCAACTATACTGCTTACATTAGAAAACGGTCCTAAATCTGTTAATTAGTGATTCCTCTCAGAGTTAAAGGAGAAGTTAATGAAATTTTTAAGTATGGCCCCAGTTGCGGCCCTTTTTTGTGGCATCACTCATTTTCATTCAGTTTGAGGTCAAATATAAAAATAAGTATTTATATCATTTTGTACGCACTGCCTCAATAGTAGCAATGGTGAATGAGCAGAGCACTGGCTGGACAGTCTAATAAAAAGTATCGAGGATGAGTCCACCTCATCTTCCTCTTTACAGCTGGTACAAAAGCGATTAGTTAAGATTCCTAGACTGTTCGCGTGAACACCAATCTCACAATTCCCTATCAGGACCCTCACCCGTAGCGAGAGCTGAGGCTTTGCAAGCATAAGGATCTCATTTTACCACCCCCTTGGTTGGTTGAGCGTGTTTTAGTATTAGCTCAGCGCCCAACCGTTCTAGAATGAACCGCAGGAGAACAGAGGCGTCCACAGTTGCCCCATATCCGGTGATAACATTTCAAAGGTGCCCTTCCTAGCCAAGCCATCAGTCACATAGTTTTCCGCGATGTCACAGTGGCCCGGCACCCAAATCAGCCTCATTAAGAAGTACGCCGACGCGATTGATAAAGAGATATAGCGAAAGGCAGGCCGTCAGAACTCTCACAGTTAGTATAAAATGTGGGTTGGGGGTGAAAAATCTCGAATATCACTATTTATTTGAGTTTTCAGTATACCGTTAGAAGCGTATCTACAGATTGTTAGCACGATGCAGAGAACAGAGGTGGTGCTCATCTCGTACCACGATTCCGCTCTCAGTGAATTTGACAGAAACGCTGTTTGTTTAAGTCACACTTGTGCAACTTGTTTATCTTTTCCTTGAAACATTTCTTCTTCTTGTATACTTGCTTGCGTTTTGACATTTCTCTCTCGCAACTGCAACAGTGTGACGTCACACAAAAATTATTTTCAAAAACCCTCTCTGATGGGCGCAATATTGTATTCTATCCTTCTTGGATTGTTAGTGCTTTATTCATCGTCACCAGAGCTTGCAACTAACTGTTGGCTCATTTTTCCAATGCTGACTGCTACTAGCAAAACAGAAAAAATAATAATTTGTTTTATTTATTTATAACAGTTTAGCTCATTGTATAACAAACACCACATAAATACAAATTGCAAACTTTGTACAAAGCCAAGAAAAATTCAATAAATTATCACAAATCGTTCCGCAATACATTATCAGTTGGCCGCCATTGTTCAGGTATCCTTGAGTGAGATTAAAAGGGGTGAGAGCTATGTCTGTGAAGTTGGCATATTGTACGACGTAAAACGACAAAAAAAGTTGTTCTGAGTAGCCTTCCAATAGTTCTAGAGTTCTTGAAAAGGAAAAAAAAGTTCTGGATATTTTGACAAAAAAAATTGCTTTGAAAATTGTGTATGCCAGATTCACGCAGCATACGAAATGTGGAAAAATTGTTCTGAGCACCTTTCAATAGTTTTAGGGTGCCTGAAAAGGAAACAAAAAGTTCTGCAAAATTATGCCGAAAAAAACATATTTTACAAATAAGTCGAAAAATTTGAATGTTTGAAAAAAATAAAAACCAAAACTGTTCTGAGTAGCTTTTCAAAAGTTCTAGAGTTCCTGTGAAGGAAAGAGAAAGTTCTGCAAAATTACGCCGAGAAAATTTTTTTTTCGAAAACGTCGAAAAAGTTAAATTTATGAAAAAAAATAAAAATTTAAAGTGTTCCGAGTAGCTGTTCAAAGGTTCTAGAGTTCCTGAGATGGAAAAAGAAAGTTCTGCAAAATTACGCCGAGAAAAAAATTTTTTCGAAAATGTCTAATAAGTTAAATTTATGAAGAAATTTAAAGTGTTCTGTGTAGCTTTTCAAAAGTTCTAGGGTTCCTCAAAGTTATGCAAAACTACGCCGAAAAAAACAAAAGTAAAACTAAAAAAAAATATAAGTTAAGTGTTCTGAGCAGCTTTTCAATAGTTCTAGTTCCTGAAAAGGAAACAGAAAGTTGTGCAAAATTATGAAAAAAATTTTTTTTTTCAAAAAAGTTTAATGTTTGAAAAAAATAAAAATTAAATCTGTTCTGAGTAGAGTCCCTGAGAAGGAAAAAGAAGGTTCTGCAAGATAACGCCGAAAAAAAAATTTCAAAAAAGTAAAATTTTTGAAAAAAAAAAATAAAACTAACTCTGTTCTGAGTTATTTTTCAATAGTTCTAGAGTTCCTGAGAAGGAAATTTTGATAATTTTATTTCTTTGTGGTCTTGCACATTTTCTTATACATAGCTAGCTATGGTCATAAATTTAGCACCAAAATTCAAATAGATAGATATTGTTTGCAACTTAAGTATGTTTATATATTTTTTTAATAAATTTCATTTATAATATAACAGAAACCGCATGAATAAAAATTTCAAAGCTTGCAGAAATTTCACAAAAATTTTATCCAACTTCAAAAAACTTACATCGGAATTTAAAATTTTTTAATTCGAATTTTTGAAATTTTTTTGAAACGCAGTTTTGAAGCCCATTCAATTTAATCTAATATAGTGCAAGTTTAAAATAGCAAAAAAAAACGTAGATTTTGTTAATGTCAGCGGCGGATCCAGAATTTTCTGATGGAGGGGGTTTTACGGGAAATTTTGCCCCTTATTCTAATTACCTTAAACGAGCAATTTTTGTGTATATGTATATGTATCCATAAGTTTCGTGGCAACGGCTCTAACGTAGCAAAATGAAAAATCGTTTTAAAAAGACTTTCGAAATTGTATTTCTTCCAATTGTCAAAAACATTTTATTTGTCACGGCGAAAATACTGTAAAAGTTATTTGTATCGTGCGAATATTTATAGAAATTATCAGGGTTTGAAAAACTGTTAGCACAGCGACAACAGCCAAGCATTTACTTTTTTATAAATTGTTGTTGCTTTGCTAGCCGGCAATAACAAGTACCTGATGAAGATCTTGCAGAAGCGTTGAGCTTAGCCGACGACGCTTTAAAGGAATTTGAAGAAATGCGACAAGATGCAGAAAAAAACTTTCATTTGCTTTTCGAACACGTAGAAGAAGTATGCATCAACCTAGGTACAGAAATCAAAGTACCGCGATACAGCAGTCGCCAAAAGAATCGCTTTAATGTGAAAACCGGAGACGCCGAGGCATACTATCGCATTGCTTTTTACATTCCCTTCCTTGATACATATATTGCTCATTTGAAAAGCCGGTGCCTAAACCATAAATCAGTTTTAAATAATTTTAGTGTTTTGTTTCCAAAGTATGATTTTAACGAAAAAAAACTGAAGAATTGTTTGCTTTCTATGAAAAAGTAATCGACTGCTCGAAACAAAACTTTCTTCTGGAGGTAAAAATGTGGAAAAAACGAGTTTCGCACGAACATTTTCGAAATGCTCTCGAAGCATTACAAGTAGCTAATAGAACGTCTTTTGGAAATGTTTTTAAGATCTTACGTATATTGGCACTTTTGCCCGTTCCAAAAGCCACACCTGACGACGCTTTTCATGCCTGAAAAGAATTAGAACCTACTTGAGAAATACCACATGTCAAGAAAGGCTCAAAGGTCTAGCATCTATGAATATTCACAAAGATATAAATTTTTCAGTTGACGAAGTTCTAGAAGAATTTTTCAAAAAACTACGAAAAATTTGAAAATTCTTCGTTTCACTGATTTATAAGTAAAAAGAAAAATTTAAATTGTTTAAAATTATCAAAATGTTTTATAAATAAAGCGAAAAATTGAATATATGATTTTAAAAATTCGTGTTTTGAAACTTTATTACGCGTACTTTCTTCTAAAGAGCCTTTTTTCTAGACCCATATTGGTGAAATATTATTCTTTGACTTGAGGGGGGTTTTAACCCCAAAAAAACCCCCGTGTATCC